TTGGGGTTAGGAATAAAAGAGGGGACCCTAGGCATCTACGTGAAAAGTCATTCTCAAAGTATCCTAGTTTGAAGGAGGGTGAATGATTTGATTTATGTAAAGCCACCCATTAGTGGTTACACTATTCCTTATTTGAAAATTGAATATGCAATGAAGTCTGCTATAATTTATGTGTTGCCACCTAAGGCTATCAATGAATAAAATTGAACGTCGGGAGAATGTAAGTATATGATAATGCTGTTGTATTTCATAAAATGATTACTGGTATAAAAATGTGCAGTGATACTTTTACAAAATTTCTCTTATTAAATGATGGTTAATGATAAAGATGTGTAGAAGCAAGAATGGTATAAGTGTGATGAAAATATTCCTCTTTTCAAATCACGTGAACACGTAACCACATGCTCTAGCAAATTTTTCAACAACTCTAAAGAGATATAAGAAACTATTATCTTTAGTGTGGCTTACCATTGTCTGTTAAAAGTAAATAAAACACAAAAGCTCTCCCCAGCTCAAACTGTTATAACATGCATGTAGGTCATGCTAAGTAGTAATTATAACTAAAATTTTAATTAAAATCATGCAACTGCTTCAGCATCATCAGGTATGATGAATACAATAATAAGGTTTGATTTGTCATTTATCAAGAGATTATCTACAGTTTGATATTAAATACAGCTTTCTATTTAAGTATTTTTGCATAAAAATATTCTTAATGCTTATTCACCTACACAAATGTGTTAATTTGCAATTTGCTCTTCTTGGCATACGTGATTTAAAGACTTAGCAACAAGGGACTGTATGTTTTACTCATGCAAAATTATGTAAATGGTTAAATATGCGTAATAATATCCACCAGAAGGAGAAATCCCTCTGCAATCTTCCTTGTGTAAATTGGCCCTTTGTTACTCAAAGATATTGACATATGTTAGTTAACATGCGGTCATTGGAGTACTAGCTTACTTTAATAGAACACAAGTCATAGAAACTAAATATTGTTTTCTTCATCCCTTTCTGGAATGTCTTCATGATAAAACTGCATCAATTGTGCAACAACGTGAAATGTTTCCGAAAGAAATCAAACAAATGCTTGAAAAAATATTACAGTGAAGTACGAACATGGAAAATGCAGTTAGCAGACAGTTAAATTCAGATGTCATGTCTAATATATTTATTGCACATTTTGGAATAAAATTATTATGAACTGTTGATATTACATTTTTGATGTTTTTGACTTCAATAGAATATGAATGGAGCATAACAATAGCCATGATAGAAATGATTACTTGTCCAGTCTTGACTATGTGTTATTGGCACTGGTTCCAAAAAGTTTTATCAGGAATAGGATTTCTATCAGTCGAGAAGATCTTTTTACTGACAGTATTTCCATATACAAGGTAGCAGCTTATTTCTGACCAACCAATCAAGGCCACCTTTGAGAAAAAGCCAGCTGTGGAAGATGGAGGTCCAAAGGTCTAAGGAGAGAGTACTCTTATTGAAAGAATTTGCGTCCCGGCAAACACCTGTGCGGCTTCTTGAGGGGAACCAAAAAAGGCTACAACTCATTAACAACGCAGTTGCTAACGCGGTGGCTTATTTAAAGTAGCAGGTCATGTTGTAAATTACACTCAACATTCTTAACTACGTTGTTATGAAGTATTAACTTTGTTTAAGGTTATATCGTGGGCGCATGGTGTACGTTCGCACGACGTTCGTTGTGTTTTTCTTTTATCGTAATAAAAAACTTACTTTTATGTTCAAAGTGTTTTCTCTACAGAAATATATTGTAATACGGACAGGTCAAACTTTCATTTCATCCATTATAAAAGGTCCTCCCGTGTTTCCATGCTAAGCTCCAGCTGTCTATTCAATATATCTCATGTGATTAGATTAAAGTAGTTGTAGAAAGAGCCACTGTTAAAGATATACCAAACTTAAAAATGCGTACAATATTGTGTAAGGTCTGTGTTCTAGACCATTAAGAAATTTTACTTTTAAGGCTTTTTAACAAAATAATGTAGAGTACAAAGTTTAATATGCAAGAAGAAAAAGATGTCTTTCCAGTCAAGTGTTTTGTATTTTTCAAAAACATGAGGTGGAAAAAAGTTGAGAGTTGATCACTTATAAAATACTCTAAAAAAAAATTACCGGGTACTTTAAGTTTAAAATGTAATCAAGGTATTTTATCATGATGCTTGCATGTGTCGAGAATGCTCATCCTAACTTTAAATTGTCATTTTATGTGATAAGTTCACAGTTTTTTTTTTGAAAAAAAAGTCAATGGGTGAGCAATTGCAAAAGTTAAATGTAAGTAAAATAGCTTAGACTTTCGCAAATAATGAACTTCTTTTATTTCATATTATGTAGTTAAGTGAGATAGAAGAATTCCATTTTGTACCAGAAGATGTATTACTGATGTGCACTGGTTGATTCACGATTCACTAAACGTCTTAGTAAAGACAACAAAGGAAGTGCGAATGTGAGTTTAATGTGTCATTTGCGTCTTTGCCATCCAGAATAGAGAGCTCAACCCATTAGCTGAAGGACTGGATTTCATTTTGCAACAAGCTCTCAGAAACCCGAATCTACGCAAGCCTTTTTTGGTATATGATGAGGCACTAAATCATCTTGATCCATAGAATTTCAAGGCTGGACACCTACGGTTTGGAAGAAAAACTTAAATAACTTTTCTTTAAATATGCTGACAGCAAAGGCAAAAGTACAAGCATAAAAGCACTATTCGGTCCCTTCATATTCATGAATGTGCAATTTCTTTGTTTTGTATAGATGAAGATAGTATAACAAAAATGCTCATGTTTTTTACCGGCCTTAGTTCATTTTCTCCTTTAGATCTAACAAATCCCTCAAAAATATTATTGAGCTCTATAGATATAGTTGTTTGCCAATGCAAACACGAGCCTTCTTGAATTTCCACTTCCAGGTAATATTTGAACATTCAAAGAATTCAGCCATAAAGTATACTTCGCCATTGGCATGCAAATCCCCGGTTTTAAAAATTATAAAAGTCATTTGCTCGATCATTTGAGTTGTACTTTTTATTTTTTGTAAAAAGTTGAGTTTTATTAGTTAAAAAAGCAAAGTTTATTTTTAGTTACATGTACAGTTAGAATTTTGAAGACGCTATTGTCTGAGAGTAATAGTACAAAAATGGTGTTTTCATGAAGAACTAATAGCATGCATGCATTTTATTATGCCGTATTGTGTTTTCATTTAGTTTAAAAATGACAAACTCTATCTTTTTTTAAAACAAATTTAATGAAAACTTTTATAGAAATTCTGACATGTTATGAATGAGATACCTGTATGCCTAAATTTTATGAGAGATTGCGACAACAGCATATTATATCTGAGCATTTTCATGTGAATATTTATTACTTCTGTATATCTCTCATAACTAGTTCTCCTAATTCATAAACAGAAAGTACATTATGATACTTCACTTAAATTCTCAGCAAAAATAAATTTAAAAAACTTTGAACATGGAAATCCACCTACATAATTTCAAATTCAGCAACTTCAAATTCCTTGTTTGAAGTTTTAAATTTAATCTATAAGGTAGAGCTTATTTATTCACCCAAATAGGTGGTTTTTTCTATCGAACTAAAATTTATGTGGCTTGTTTAACTGTGTATTGAGATTATTTTTCTTATATTTTTCTAATAGGTGTAAAGTGGTTTTCAAGCTTGTTTCAGTACAGCAGTCTGTCAATTTTTTAAAACTGTAATATTTTAATTGGAAAACGGACGAGGAACGGCACTATTTAAATATTCATTCATTTACCCTTTGGTTGAACGGCAAATGCGGGTTTTTTTTGAAAAATATCAATGCCATTCGTATTGTAATGTGGATGACGATTAATTTCTTCTCTGATCGCAAACATGTCTTCCTCTCAGAATAGTCTATCATTTCCATTTCCTTCCTCTCATTTCTACTTTACTCAGACACAAGTATAATTCTTGTTCAGTGTCCAATATTTAACCGCCGCTTCTCAACAAAATTAATGCTAAAGAGTTAATCCGGTATACAACACTTTCACTTCACAACTTTCTCCATGACATTTTTTGAATAATATTGTACCATCTCACCTACTATTGATTGCCTCTCATCCAGCATTTTGTCAATTGTTTTAGAGCATTTCTGTTCACCGACGACCATTGGTGGCAGATTTTGTGTCGTTCACTGCAATGACCAGTGTTCATCCCATTATATGGCCGTGTGTACTACATCTAAATTTCGAGTGCAACGTCGTAATATATTTGAGCCCTTTACCGCATGTCGAACGTCATTCAGCCTGTTCAGATTTTTTGTTGCGAAGCTGCCGAAACGTGTTTTGATCAGGCAAAATGTAACTTTTTTGCCAAAACGGGATGTATTGACTGAGGTTGTCCACAAGCAGACCGTAAGGACATTTGGCCCACAAATTCGATTTAGTAGACACAAAGAATCGTGAATGATCGCAAAGACTTGTAAATTAGTCAGCTGCCATTTTTTAAACAGAATACCGCTCCAAAGAAAACAGCAATGCCTCCCTGTTATCGAGAGATTTCCAAGTGCCCCGATATTCTGTTGCGGAAATGTAGTGTGGTCTGACCAATAAACGATGAAGAGCAGCATCGACACTCAAATGAGTATTCAACACCAAATCTCAGAAATTTGTTGTGAAAGAGCGAAGGACAAAGCAAACGTTAAAATAAGGAACTTGTTTTAAAAAAACTTGTCATATTTATTAAATGCGCATTTTTATTACTATTTTTAATAGTTTAAAAATCACTTGTATGTTAAGATCCATGGTTACTTACTTATTTTTCAAACAACAAATAGTACACCACATATAAGCTTCATTACAAATCAAGCTCTTCAAACTTGGTAATTATATTTAATGAATTGTAAGCGGCTCGTATTCATAAAAGAACGTAATATAGAAAGAACCAATTGTACTAATATCTAAATGTAATACAAACAAGCAAAAGGTTGTTTACCTGTATCTTGAACTGGCTTTCTCAACTCTTTCAATACGTTTAAAATTACCTTGTCGTTGACACCTAAATGTAAGAGATCTTATTTTCAAACTTGTGTATAATATGTATTTTTTTATTTACGTAATACGCTGTCTGCGCATGTGTACTTTAAACACTCTAGAATTGTGTAGAGTGTCTTATTCATTGAGTTCTATAATAACTGGAGCGGCTTTAGATATCTGATGACGTCAAAATTTGTTCCACTACTGCCGAGATTTACCGAAATTAATCGCTTTACTAAAAATTTGACTATTTCTAACACCCCAATGAAGATAGCGCGAAAAAAGTATAGATACATGTGACCACAAATCACTAAGTAACCTTTTTGTGGTGTTTATAAGTACATTTTAATTTTTTTCATATAAATATATATATAGGGTAAAATGCAATTAATAATGAAAGCACTTTTGCTTGCAATAGTTTTTATAATTCAATTGTGTTTTTAATACCATTACCCTTCCTTTTGTTTTTGTTTTGTCTTTCCTATATTTGTAAACTATGTGCACAATTTGAATGATGAACACAGTTTTTACCTCAACAATAATGTTCGTAAGCAGTTGCTAGTGTATTTTGCTCTCGAAGTATCCGCATCTGGTGTTGTGTTTGTACAAGAATGATTAATTTAATTAGAGTCGAAAAATATTATGAAGTTTGAAGAAAATTTGTCAAAATAGTAGAATGTCCAAAAAAATTGACCAAGATTTATAGTATTGCTGATAAATTTAAAAGCAACGATAAAAATTGCGAAAAGTCTGTTCCTTTTTCTAAGTTTTTGAAAGTTCCAGGCATATAAAAACGCTCGAACCAACTAAATTATGTAGTTCCAGTTAAATACACAGGCCTATGATGTTTCTTAAAAACTGAGCACTTTGTGTTGTTTTACAATAACTTTTCATGCCACGAAAATACACATACTGCAAGTAACATACAGTTCTGTGTCGTGAAGTGAAGTGATCTTTGCAAAAAGAGTTCTTAAACAGTCTTTTATTGATGTAAATGCATAATAGTCCAGAACATGTTTTAAATACGCAACGATCCATTCTTATTGTGTCCGTATAAAGAAAATAATGATAGAAAAAGAAAAAGAAAACAATGCATATCACGTCAGGCTAGTAATCTTAGTAGTTGATATGAAACAATAATGAAATAAACCAGTAAAAATTGTTTGCCAATAGTGTCATGTTTTATATAGCATTCATATTTTTTAACATTCAGTTCCGTCTTGTAGACTTGTATTAGTTTGTCAATCTAGTGTCTTTAACTCTTGTTGAACATGTTTCTGCTGGAAAATATATTGTTGTGAAAGGAGCTAATTTTGTTACATGTAATTTCAAAGAACGAATGGTGTCAAAAAACGACACTAAATCAGTTTTTCGACTGCCAAGAAGCTAAATAAACAGGGAAGGGCTCAACAAAATGTTTGCTTAAACAAATCATTTGAAAAAAGTATAGGGGTTACGGTTCCAAATGCATCTTAGTTCAGTGTCTCAATCACGGCTTTCAACATTGGATATTGTGAAAAAAGAGTGGAATGAACCTGTTTTGCTGAGCTTTACCGAAAATGACTGCTTTTCCGAAATGTTCACTATTTTTCACTCCCACGGAGAAAAAGCAAAGCATGATCATGTGTGTATTTGGCATTCGACAAGCATTTTTTTCACGAGAATTGTGGTGAAAAGCAAAAACTTAATTTCATAACAGCGAGTCAAACCGTGGGTGTTGGTTATCTGGTCCTATACGAGCATGCTTTTTATAATTATCGAAGGAGGTATTTGTCGGCTACATATAAATGCAGATGTACGATGTTATATCACGAGCGTCAACCTCATGGGTTTTTTTACAAATTTTTCAACCACCTCATTATGCAAAACATCTGATTCCTCTTTCTGTTCAATGATATCTTTGTGAATGGATGTTCTACACAAAGAGGCAAGCCAACCTTGACCCTTTCTATTCCTCAAATAGCTTTTTACCCTTATAAAGCAAGAAAACGACCTCTCTACTGAAGCACTTGCCACTGCCAAGACACCATTCAATTTTAAAAAATCACCACTTGACGTAAAATCAACAGGAGATTATATTTGTAGTTTTATTTAAGCATCTCATTTCAACACTCTCTGTGAAATTCCTTGTCATAGTAGATGAGGGAAAGTTGACCCTCCAAAGTTGGGATGTTGAAAAGAGGACTACACTTATTTTTGAGAAGATTGATCTTCTCCTTAGCCCTTCCATATATTAAATACTTTAGGATTTATAAGATCTAAAAACTCGAACTGATCAATATCTTGAAATTGTTCACTTAACATGTCTTTAATGGAATCAATATTCTCAAAATAAAGCTGTTTGTAATTGTACAAACTATCTCGGGTTGCTGGAGGGCCTACTTTTTTAGTACGGTTTAGTAAAACTCGGTGAAAGCTTCATCTATTTGAAAAGATAAAATAAACTGCTTTTAACTGTCAATTTTGCTTATGCCATAACTAAATTGGGTTTCCCTATTTTGAAGAATGGAAAATAAAATTGTGGACTGTTCTAAAATCCTGTAAAATATACACACTAGCAGACAAAACAAAAAGCTATCAAGATAATGGAGTAAGCAACTTATTTTACTTAATGACTCATCATCCCACGCAGCTGGTTGTTCAAATACCCTGTCAAAATAAAACATAAAGTTTTTTATGGTTTTTGTGCAATACAACGATTAATTGAGAGCGATAATACCATCCTGTTTCACCAGAGGCAGGAAACTCAAGGTTGCTTGATGTGAGAAAAACTTTCCTTATTGGGGCATTGCTTGCAAATGTGCTGAATATAGCTATATTAATGAAAAAGATTTTGACAGTAGAATTTGATTATGCTGACTGGCATTAGACCAGGTGCAATCTATGAGCTGCACAATGAACAAAATGGGCGGAAGGATACTCTTGTCGAACCAACAGTTGAACTCCATTGATTCGGCCAAGCATCACAGAAGCACCATCATGTTATTCTGACTCTTCAAGGCATTTAAAAAAAGCAAAACACACATTCACTATCGTCTACTTGTCTGCAATAAACTTTAAAGCTTGAAGACATATTTAATGAGAAGTTTCCTGTGAAGACAAAGAGTACATGTGTTGTAGAAATAATTTAGACACAACCAAGTCCATATAACCGTAAGCCGTAGCATCTGAATGTTAAGAAATTGTTTTTAACAATGTGCATTAATTACGCTGTTGTTTATCGAATTGCAACTGTGCAATAGCTATTCGTCAGAATTGAAAACAATGCCAACAATCTCAAATTTACATTTTAATCCATGTTACAGCTCTCACCTTGTATGTTTTCATATGTACACTTCTTAGTATGTACACTTCATTAGTCAGAGATTTGGCGGCCGTTAAATTTCCGACATGCACAAAGTAATTAAGCAGCTGGACACGAGGTCCAATATTTCTCAGTAAAGACCCGGAAAACGAGGCTATTTAAAAGTTTATTATATGGCATTATTTCATCTGAAACAAACTTTTGTTGTCATTCCTGTTTTGTAAGATTGACAAACACTTTTCTAGTTTTCGCTGGTAAAAAATAAATCGTTTCAAATTGTGTCGTCTGGCTAATTAAACTCTAAAAGCATACACATTAACAACACAACATGACTGGAATTTGATATCTCAAAAAACACAAAGCGTTTGAGACTGGTTTGGTTGAGCAGCGCCATATTTATGTGTGGCGACTGGTGTGGAAGTGTGTCTGAGAAAACTAGATCAGGGCTATGTTATATCTCCGAGGTTGAGCTATGAAAGACAGTTGCCGAGATCAAATCTATCGATAACTCTGTACGCACTGCCTTTACTATGCCATTTCTTATATACAAATACTTCAATCAATTTTGTAACCCCCCAGTAATAATGTCAACTCTGTTACTACTAGTAGAAATTCAAATCATCAAATTAAAATAAGTAGTCAATCAATGAATTAAATGTTTCAAAAAAGCCATGTATTTTGAACATAAAGTACCAGGCATGGATTACAAAGCTCATATAAATAGGAAAGCATAACTCAGCTGAATTTAAAGTCCAATGCTGTATTAACAATGTTTTTGTTATGCTCCGAGTACAAATTTCAATCTAATAGCTTCATGTTTGTAAATTAGGTTTTCCAGGTTGATATAGTCCTGAGAAGGACCAGTGGCGTAGCTAGCGAAAAACATTTGGTCGGGCTCACGAGGCGCCACCATGGTTGGCGCCGAGCGATAAAATTTTCCGAATTTAGACTCCCTAGAACGTCGGAAACGGCAATCTTAGAAAGCAAATGCGTGATATTTATGCAGGAAATAGAACCATTTTGGTTAATTTAAATTGCCGAAGGATCTTATAGTAAAGCAGAGAAACAGTTCAAAAATAGCTGCAGATATGTGATTTATTTTATCAACACCACATACATAAATAGATACCTATGTACATCTTGTAAAGAAACTTTGACAAAAGAACCGAAAAAGGCTCAGATTTGTCATCAACAACTATCAAAAGTTGTGATGAAATTGTCGTGCTGAAATGACAATCATCATTGACTGCATTAAAAAGTTCACGGAAAAATTCTCACATGCCATGGACGTAAGACATCATCAGCTTGTTATCAGCCATATATGAATACCTATTTGTATAAGAAAGCAAGTCTTCGTGGTTTTTCAATGAACTTCTTTACTACCTCATCATGCAATGTGTTGGCGTCTTCTTTCTCTGACAGTATGTCTTTGTGAATGGAAATCCTGCAAAGAGAACTAAAACATCCTTGGCTCAAAGTATTTCTAAGATAATTTTTTACTCTCTTCAAACAATTAATGACCTCTGAACTGAAGCACTTGTAATTGACAAAACCCCATTTATCTTTAACTTCTGGAATGGAATTGATAATTGACAGTGAAAGTCTTTATCTCTGTAAATAAAACAAAGTTGGCTAGCTAGCATTGGTATGTCAAACATATCACCATAAACCTCCTTTAGAAGATTTATCTTTTCTGAGGGCGCTTCACCTTTCCACATCTTAAACACCCTAGGGTTAACAAGGTCAAAAATCTAAAATGCTCCATATCCTGAAATCGCTCAGTCAGCATAGTCACAATTGTGTCAAGAATTTCAAAATACATTTGTTTGTAATTATGCCGTTGGTCATACCTGGTTACTGGTGGTCCCACTTTCTCAACAGCCAGGTCGTACACCTGACGATATTCTGTATCATTTCTCAGAGAAGCAACAAAGGCCTTGAATCTCTCAAACCTACTCATTCCATAATGAAAGTCAGTGTCCTTGTCTTGCAAGATAGAATAAAGTATGGATGACTGCTCAAGAATTCTCTGACAAACATGTACCAAGAAACAAAACAAGAAGCCATTAAGGTAGCCAAGTAAACCAGTAACCTTACTTAACGTTTCATCATCCCAACCTATTGGATTATCAGTAAGATTTTCAAATATGTCTATCAGTTTCTCATAGTTAGAATGCAAGACATTGATGACATGAGCCCTATAATACCATCTTGTGTCACCAGGACTAGGAAACTCAAGCCTATGGGATGATAGTAAAGCTTTTCTTTTGGGGGGAATTGCTAGTAAAGGTGCAGAAAGCACTAATATTAACAAAGAAAATCTTAACAGGTGAGATGGAGGATGCAGCTTGACATAATACTAGATTTAGTCTATGGGCAGCACAGTGAACAAATTGAGCATAAGGATAATCCTGCTGAACTTGAGCTTGAACACCATTGAGATGACCACACATAACAGATGCACCATCATAAGTCTGTCCAATAAATTTCTCTTTCACATTATTATATTGACTTAACTTACCCTTAACCACTGATGATATAGCAGTTGCAGTCCTATCACAACTAACATCAACAAACCCAAGCTGTCTTTCAATGACACTTTCCCTTTGTCCATTCGAACAATTACACTCAATTGTTCTTTGGTAGAAACATCAGTTGCCTCATCAACCTGTATACTTAAGAAAGTGCAGCAATATACTTCCTTTAAAATCTCATCCTCTATTATCTTATCAAGACAATCAATCAAATCATTCTAAATATCAGGAGAGACTCCAGTAAACAGCCATCCCCCAGCAAGGTGGGTTTCAGCAAGCCTTCCATGTAATGGCCTTTCAAAAACAGAACCCATCTTAGCAAAACTTTCAAGTAGCTCTATATAATTTCCTCTATTCATTCTGCCACTAGATTCATCATGCCCCCTAAATGCAAGCTCTTGCCTAGGCAAGTATAAAACAGCTTCTGTTATGGTTTTCAACATTTCCCTGTTTTGCCTTACCTCCTCAATATGACGCTGAATTTCTTCACGTCTAGTTTGTGACATGAGACAGTCGATACGAAGCTGAAAACTGTAGGTCTTCCAGGTCTTGTAGGCACCCATGTGCGATTTTGCCTTCTCATTCTTCTTACAATCGGATAGGAAATTCTTCGTGGTTTTGAATCTCGTCTGCGTCCATGAAGATGACGATCCAGGGCAAAATAAAAGACAAGGCCAACAGAACAATGCATTCTTTTCTGAGCTACAAAAAAGCCAATCTTTCTTCGAGTACCAAATTTCATGAAAGCTTCTATTGCCTGTAGTCGCTTGTAAATTTGGAATTGGCCGCTGCTTTACGATTATATATTGCTTGCCTGATTGTCGAACAGAAAAGGGCTTCTTTTGTAGTTCACTTATTATATCGATTTCATTAGCCGAAGCCATTGTAATGTAAGTTATCACGATTTCCAAACGTATATTTCGAAAGCTCAAAATTCCAGTCACACTTTTGAAAATGAGCCCGACTAGATGTTGTTAAACGTTTGAGTGTGTTCACAGCTACTCTCAACCAATCAGATTACAGATATTCCCACTATAGATTTCATTATTTGGTCGGGCTGAATTTTCAGAGCCCGACTAGATGTTGCGAAACAGCGCATTTGAGTTTGCTCAGTTGCTGTCAACCAATCAGATTGCAGATAATCCCACTATAGATTTTACTACTTGGTCGGGCTGAATTTTCAAAGCCCGACTAAACAACGTAATGCCTGGCACTAGAAATGCACTTGTCATTGTTGCTAAGTAACGTTTAAAAATATGATAATTTTGCTAATAACGACGCAATTTGACAAATATTACACTAATAGACTGTGGATTATTCCAAAAAGAGTCGCAGAATTTAAAATTTTCGCAAATCCAATTTTAAAGAAAACAAATTTTTCATTTTTGGGAAAATATTTGGTTGGGCTGGGCCCGACCAGCCAGACCGCTAGCTACGCCACTGAGAAGGACTGTTTTCGTTGTTGTTGACTGACGTTTCGACAACCTTAGTCATCTTCGGAGTCAAATGAGGAGTAAACGTCAGGTTAGCCGTATTTGTTATCTAGTTCTTACGTCATTGTATTGTATGTACAGGAAATATGCATTGTCATTGTGAATTAGTGTGAAGTGCAATGTTTTTAGTTGATCGTTTTTTTGTATTGTGAATAAGTCGTTTGTAAGGTGCCGGTAATTGCTGTGATCTGTTCAGGGGGGTTTGTTCCAAGTTGGTGTATCAACTGTCTATATTGTAAGCCGTTATCTACAGTCAGTACTGTATCGTAGGTGGAAGCTTTTAACAAGATTTTGTCATCAGGACATGAACCGACCCACATTCAAACAGATTAAGGCTCGGAGTTTTTCAATCGTTTTTTTAAGAAACTTATGTCTAAAGAAAAAATTCATTGTTCAAAACGTTCAACGAGACAAAGGCATCGATTGTTGAACGTTCGATACGTACACTTAAAACAAAATCATGGCGTTACTTTACAGCAAATAAAACTATGATACAGCAAATAAATTGATCTGATGTATTTTTATAATCATAGCATGCATCGTAGCATCAAGGAAAAACCGATAAACGTTACAAATGAAATTGAAGATAGAATCCGATAAAATTTATATGGGGATAGCTAACTAAATAAACATGCACATGTAAAATATAAGTTTGATAAGACGATCAACTACGAATATATAAAATGAAACAAAAATTTAAGAAGGGGTGTTTTCCAAAGTTTACAAAGGAAAGTTTTACTGTAATTCTAAAAGTACCACGTAATCCTCCTGTATACAGGCCTGAAGGATTATGACGGGGAAGAACTTCAAGGAACATTTTATGAAAAAGAACTTCAAACAGTCATCAAGAAAAATGATGTTTGCGACATTGTAAAAATACTTAAGAAACGATGCACAGGGGGTAATGTACAATATCTTGTAAAGTGGTCAGCTTACCCAAACAAATTTCATTAATGTGTACCTGCTTCAGAATAAATATATAAAACGTACCTTTGTGCTTGATCTCTTTCAATTCAATTTTTGTATCAATGATTAGCGGAACACACTTTTATTTTACATTACCTAGCAATACATCTCTGTCTGGGTTTCCACATAATAAAGTTTCAGGTTGTCGTGTAAACTTATCTCACTCTGTATTTAAATTGCAATTGAGAAGTAGGATTGTACGCAATTAGGTATCCGCATACATGGTATACGTTGAAAAAAGGTTTTGACATATACATATATATTTGTAACTAACAAATCAGGTAAACCTACACCGGTAAAAGTCGACTATGGCTTGTATGAAAGCAGTTAATGGGACTCTTGATAATGAATTAAAGACAATATTAAATTGAGCTTTAACCCTCGAGCAGTCGAAAAGTTAAGTTCGTGTAATACAGGGTTACAAAATATTATTTGAACATCAAATGTCGACCTTACTCGGTTTTGGCGGAGAAGATGTAGAGATTTCTAAAAGCCAAAAGCCCTAATGCCGCCGATTTGCAAGGATCTATCAAGATGTATATATATTGCGACATTGTACAGCCTTAAGTTGTTGGAGGCATCGACGTAAAATTACTAAAGGCAGTTGCTAATCAAGAAAAATATGGAAAAGTTGCTTCGAGAACATTAACTAATGTTCAGTATATAGCCGTGCAAAAAATCTTTTGAGGACATCGAAATTCTATTAAGGGAGGAGTTAGGAAACCCAATCTCATTTAATCGTGGGAGGTCGATAGTGACACTTCATTTCATCCTCATCTTATTTTACATACGAAAAATAAAAGCCGAACCAAAAGTTACGTTCAATAATACCTCAACAAGCAAAAAATCTATGGATCGCAACCTGTCTTTAGAGGAGCATTCTGACAAAAAAGGTTATGGGCAGATGGGTTATGGTCTTGATGGCTTAATTCGTAGTTTGGCTAGAGCTGCAATACCTTTGAAAAAAACCGGTGCGAAAGCTCTAAGTAAAATTGCTCTTGATGCAGGGCAAATGTTTTGGCAAATGTTATCACAGGTTTTCAAAAGGATGCAAAATCTCGAGTTAATCAAGCAGCAAAGGAAACAGAAAAAAAGCCGCAAACCGTGTGCAGCAGTTTGCTCAAACAGGGAGAGGAAAATCTCAGAAGAAAAAGGCAAGATAAAGAAGCAAAATATATTTTTGGTTAAATATGGAGCTCATTCATCCAAATTCTGCAGAAGGTACAAAAAGTGAACTCGATATCTTTTCGTACTCCCAACACAAACCAGTTTGGAAGAGGAACGCTGTATAGACCACTCACCGGTCTCCAGTGTATCTGAAAGCGGTGTGATTACTTTTTTAGCGTCAGGAAAAGAAGATTATGTTGATTTGTCCAACACAATATTGATAGTCGGAGCAAAAGCAACAAAAGCCAACAGCAAAAATCACGACAATACTGATTAAGTTGGACCGGTGAACAATTTCTTGCACAGTTTTTTTAAGCAAGTTGATGTGTTTTTAAAAGGAAAACTGTCATCCAATCGACTGGAACTTATCCTTATCGTGCATATCTCGATACAGTTTTCAATTATGATACATCAGCTAAGCAATCCCAGCACTGTTATTTTTGAGGTGTTGAACTAGCACTTTCTCTAGTGCTAAACTGACACCCACCGGTGGTGTTAAATAAAAGGTGTTATTATAACACCAATATTGGTGTTGATTTAACAACATATGACCTTAAACATATTGTAGCGTGTCAAATTTACACCTCAACACTTTAACACCTAATTAATAGTGCTGAAATAGCACCTTGTTCTGCCACAAAGGTGCTAAAGTAACACTGTTTGTTGGTGTTAAGTGGTTGGTGTTAAATTAACACCATTAGCAAGAGTTACAATAATTTATAAAGGGCGTTATTTCTGCACCACTCTCCTTGTAGAATCATGGGTGTCAAAATAACACTTATTTTAACTGTTTTTTTAACTTATTTTTATACTTATATCAAACTGCAGCTGTTTTCGTTCTGACACGGATAACAGAACAGTTGACTTATGCGTTCATTTAAACAGTTTAAAAACTTCGTAAAAAATAGCGGCAATACATATGTTATATTAACCAAAACTGGATTAAGCATGGATTTTATAGGGGGAACCTTGGCTTTGTGAGTTCTTTAAAACCTAAAAGTAATAAGAAATACCGTTTTGGCACACCTAAATGTAACCGTGTTGACCAGAACATAGATGGGTGAGCACCCCTGTGCACCTGCCCCTTATAAATCATTCACTGATAATAAGTACACAGGTTAAACAGTAAATAGAATAACTTATACCAAAGATAATCAGCTTTTTTGAAATGCCATAATATATACATTACGATAATGCATGAATATGCTGTGTCCAGGAAAGTAAAATTTATTCTACATCTATTTCATATCTATGGCAAATGTATTTTGTGTTACACCCAAATGGCTTTATCAAGTTAAATGGCAAATGTGAGGTTAACTCTTTAAAATATTTAATTTTAATTTCCTTCTGTTTTGACTGAGCAACTTCATAAGCCTGATAATGTTCAGAAAACCTGACAGTCTGTTTTCTTGAAACAACAAACATGGCGTTTGCAACATTTTGGTTAATGATATAAATACCAATAACTTCCCAAAACTGGGGAAATTCAACATAATCATAACCAATGTGGACAGTAGCTCTTACTTTATATTTTGTTCCATTGATAGTAATCCATTTGGTACTAAAATTATAATAGGAAAAATATTAATATTATTTAGTTCAAAGCAATTAATTGTGTACATAAACTTTACTGAAAAGCAAGTAAATAAAGAGCAATTTCAAGCAATTTCATCATTCACAATGAAGATATTTCAGTCACTCGACTAATTACATCAATCTGACTTACCTATACAATGGTGTTTGTCTGTTCACTTCAGGAGATTCTGTTTGAATGAGCCCACTCTCTTCAACATCACCAACATATAATGTTTTACCTTCAAAAAGACGAACATAAGTTTCTCTAATTACTGTAGCTGTAGCTTACATAAAAAATAAAACCAACTCAGGATAATGGATGCACCATTGAGCTATAACTATATATTGTATCTGAATGAAAGAAATCATTAAGAAATGCACCTGGCCCAATTTCAGTGCCTTTGCAAATAAACGTGCTATTTCCACCTTCAGCAGACTGTAGGCGATAACAAACTCCTTCTTGGTGCCTCTTTGCCAACGAGTATGGTAGGTTTATAAAATTACCAATCACTATTGCCAACCTCTTAAAGTAATGGTGTTTTGCTTCGTAGCGCATGCACCAACTTCGCACAAGAGGCCCAAATCTGTTAATTGATACAGAATACAAGAAAGAATTGTAAATTAGTTTTGAAAACTGCAGGTTTTTGAAGCCACATGGTTTGTAATTGTAAATCAGAATTCTAAACTTACTGAAGTATTGCTCTTGGCATATGAACCATGTAGTGCATCTTTGGAATGATACTGCATTCTGGAAACAATTCTTTAAAATTTTGTAATAACTTTTGAATGAGTATTTGAAGATATGAAACTTGCTCTCTGCTCACAATTGGAGTAAAACTTATACGAACAATTTGAAGTAAGGTACAGAGTAACCCCCAGTGCTGATCATCTACTTCTATAAGGTCACCAATAAGAAATGGCAAATGTAGGCCAAGACACCACATCTGATTTGCTAATAGGACGGAAAAGCGTCACAAATTATCTTCCTGAGGGAACGTGTGCTTATTACTTCATTTTAGGGATCCCTGACCTTAGAATACCTTATGGTATCAAATAGTTACATACTGTATATAGATCTATATAGAATTTAAGGATTTTAAAATAGTGGAAAGGACATTACTGTACCGTGCTGCTTTAAACTATTGTCTGATGAAAGAAGTCTTTGGGCTTGAATTGGAGCAGGTTTATTGGTATCATTATGATAACCAAAATCAAATGCCTGCATCCTTTTATTAAGGTCGTCTAGTTTGAAGTATCTCTTTTCAAAGATGAATTCTTTTAATAATTCTTTAACAATGTATTGTAGCACACCTTCCAGTATATCATGCATAGCATCTGGGGGGAGTCCTCCAATGACATGATAGTACTTTGAGTTGTTAAGTAAAGAAAACTGATTCAGGCCATAAGTTTTTTTGAAATGCTCTCCTTGGTCCAGTTTTTGACACTGCTCATTGTAACCTTGCACTGTTCGCAAAAAAAAGTCATCCTCATGAAACTAAACAAATAAGTTAAATAAAGTCACCCTAAACACAAACAGTATCTAGCACTGAAACCATTTAAATTAATTAAACCAACACATTGTCTGAAGTAAAGCACTTTTATATGAACTAAGTACTTTTTATTTTTCAAAGTTTACATACTATGGAGAAAGCATAAACCATGCAATAGATGCAGTGGCAAGTGTCAATTAAGCATTACTGTAGCTACATTATATATACCATTTCAGTTATTTCTGTAGCATTTCCCATACAGACTCTGCATTTTCTGTAAGACTGTGATCCTTGCTTAAACCCAACAAGATATTGTGAACCAAGATTATCTCCAGATATAAATGCAATTGTTCCTGCAAAGCATCTTCGCTGATTATTTATTATAAACTCATAGCCACCAACCTAAAAGTTAATTTATTCCTTAATTTATTAGAGTTCTTAAAAGAACAAAACATGAAAAACATGCATCAACACTAGTCCAATACCTGTTCTAATTTTTGAAGGTCTCTAAGAAATGCTCTTAGCACAGGTTCCACACCATATATCTTGAGATGCTTACTAGACACTAGTCCAAGTAGTTGAATGGAATTGAGGTGAGACCGGTGTTCGGGCGTATATTGCCCAATGTATAATAAAAAGCGGCTATATGAAATGCAAAAGGTAACCGGAAAATTTAATGAAATAGACATTTTTAAACCTACAGTATGGGAATTACAAGCACATTAAATTAAATTATGGTACTAACCTAATTTATGTTTGTTAGCTCTTGATCCTAATGGGTTACAAACTTCTACTTCATCAAAATAAATAAGAAGTTGCAATGCCAAGGGATCTTTACTGAATAGTGGGTGCTCTTTAAAGCCTTCACCATCACAATAATCAGACAAAAAATCACTGTTGCAAAAATGAGGATTTTCCACCTACACAAAATTGGATCGGATACTGTCATGTGCAGAACAAAGCTAAGGCAATGGTAATATTAAAATTTTCTATATTCAGCATTGTGTTCAATGGACAATTATATACATACATCACATGCACATGTAATCAACACAAACCTCGTTAAGAATTGACTCATCATTAAGAAGCTGTTGCAGACTTTCCAACAAGGGAATATAGTATGCATCATCTGTTTTTTTCGACATCTCTCAATCTATTTCCTCTTCTTTTCTTTGTGTGGTATTTTCCAAGAACAATCTTTTGTGGTTCCTAAAAAGTGAAATATTGATTGTAAAATTTTGATTACTTTTTTTTATAAATTTCTAAACCAATTTTACAACTTACCACAAGATTAAACTCCTTCTTGTAGTATTCATATTGGAGATACTCTTGGTCAATACCAGCAAAAGGATTTGAGATTGGGTTGTCTTCATCAAATAACTCATTCACCTCTGGTAGGTTGTTTAAGTCAATCCCAGCGTTCTTAAGGCAGCTAGTTATACCAGACTTTAAAAGGTTAATGCTTGTTTGAGTAACCTTCGTAGCATTCTCAACGAAGGAATCAACAACAGTTTGAGGTACACGTCCTCTTTCTTTGAAATTTAACAAACATAAAGCATTCGCTCTAGATAAATTGTCCTGGACAGCCATAATGTCAAACTCTTCTCCCTGTTCACGGTCTGTATTATCAATATCATGATTTTGATTAGCATCGTCGTTTCCCCTATCAGTATTCAACTCTGCACTGTTCCTCGTATTGCGCACGATGTTATGTTTTCGAATAAGGTGATTTCTCAATGATAAAAATTTCTTAAACGTCCTGGCACAACCATCGATGCCACAAACAACATGAAAATTTGGTTCATCACGATGAACACGGCCAATATGTGTTATTAGTAATTGAAGAGAATCTGAAACGAATTCTAGGCAAATATTACATCGATATAGACGCTCCATGACATAATTCACTTCAAGAATACAATTCACTTCTGAAGAGAGTGCCGGCTCAACTCTGTTACCATATATGGTGTGAAATGTGATATTAGCGACTATATGCAAAAACGCGGTAAAATGCTTATAGCCAACTGTCACTGTCAAACTGTTTCATATTTCATTTCATGCTTTTCATCGTGATTTCACCTGTTTGTGCAGCGTTGTCAAATTATATTTTATTGTGAACTAAACGTAAAGTCAATATTACCAGGCTAACAGAGCCATTGGATTTAAGTTATTTGCTTTCGACGTTCTCCCTTCTTTTAAAAAGGTAAATACAAAGCTTTTTGAATGTATTTTCTTATGAAATTTCTTGTGACACATACTTCTCCTCGTGCTTATATTTCATGAAATTTTTGTATTTGTGTTGTACAAATTTTTATACGTTTAAGGTCGGATGGATTCCACGTTGCTTGATAATCTTAAGAAGGCAGGGGTAAAGGACAGTGTAATTTCTATTCTTGAAGATGAAGAGGTATGTGTATAAAATTAAATTTAGCACGAGTGCATGAATTTTTGCGTGTTGACGTTGTGACTAGACGACTTTTTGTTGCTTTTGTTAACACTGCTTGGTAAATATGGACTCCATACCGAAAAAACAATACTTGAATTTAGTGGGGAAAATTATTGAGGGAAATAAAATGTAAAGATAAAAAATGACTAAGTAATCTAAGACGTCAAGCATTATGAGTGAAAGTTCAACTGCTGTGGCTCCAAACTACATTAGACTATGAAGTAAAAATACCAAATCAATATTATTGCAGCATGCTAAGTTGATGTTCGAATAAATTACTTCATTTTTTTTACTCCGGTCCGCGGAATCCTGGCAAATGTTAAAGCCAATAAATTAAGCTGTTTTAGTAATTTAAAAAAGTTATTTGGAAAACGTTTTTAACAATGGCTTTGAATGATAGTTCTCACTCGGAAAGCGAGTTTTACTATGCCGACGAGCTTGGAAATATCGTGGAAAATGTTAGCGAAAATATAGCAGAAAACGTAAACATGGATGAAAGGGACGAAAGTTTTACGCATGAAATTCAAGATTACATTATGGCACAACGGCCATAACCGCTTGACAAGAAATAAATACGTTATTTACCGTTTATATTTCGGTCCGAATAGAAAAATAGTTCCTCTCGACATAAAACGGCCTTTGGCCTCTGGCCGTTTGGGACCTCTGGAAAACATTTTACATTTATTTCACGCGCGTTCTGATTGGTCAAAGCCCAATCCAAACATCAAATGGCTGTTCTTTTTTCGCTTGAAGCGAAAAAACAACTCGACCAGTATCCTCCTGTACGAACCTCTCGCTCAGTCATTAACATATATATATCTTTTTAATTTAATTTTGATTTTTTGTACTTGAATAGTTTGATTCAGCTGGTATTTTAAACAATACATCTGATGAGCTGTTGAAGGCATGTGGCATAAAAGGAGGGCAAGTTATACGAATCAAAAATGCATTGGCAACGATTAACAACTTGGACAAGTTTCTACCATTAAGAAATGTTCCATCCACCATTGAACCATCCACCCAGAAGATCGCTTTATCCACTAGTCATTCCTTTGCCATAAATGACAATGTCAGCAATTCTTCAGCGTCAATTGAAGAAGCTCATTTGTCAACAGGCACACCGTCACCTACAACATCCAGTACACCTCGACATACCATAGCATCTGAAAAGAGTGATCAACCTTCACCAAGCTTTGTACTTGTGGAAGAAAGGAAACCGAACAAGAACTGGATAAAAGATTTTAAACTTCCTATTTCTGTATGTTAAATAATATACCTCATAATAGGTCACATTCTGATGTTAAAATTTATCTTTTGTATTTTACAGTTTTCTCCAAGAGTGAATGAAGCACTGCAAGCAGGAAAACTTAATGGAAACCTTAGGGATGAGTTTACTAGGGACATTTGTTCTTCTATTAAAGCTCATACAATGTTTCCATCCAGAGAAGAAAAACAAAGAGTGGCGTCCATGATTGTAGAAAAATATACTTTTCTTGTCGATTCACTTGGAGCTGGTACAGTAAGTCATATTCATATTATTTAATGCATATGATAATCTTTAGAAGAAATCCTATAGCTTTGCTCGCTATCTCTTATAATGTACAGCATGAACTTTCTTCGTTACAGGGGTCATGGTTGAAAGCAATCACTAATCGATTCAAAAACATGCGTAGAAAGAAGACAAATTCAACAACAAGATCTGTTTGTGTGTCTCAAACTACACAAAAGCAGCCAGAAGCACAAATGAAAAGACGTAAGCTGTATGATGTTTATGATATGGATAATGGTGAGACTGCAGAAACGTGCGAAGAACATAAAAAAGCCATGGTAACCGAGATGACGAAAACAAACAAAAGATATAGACTAATTAAAGAGCTCATGGAGTTGACCTACCCCTACCGGCGCCAACAATTTATAAATGAACCAAAAGTGTTGAATGAGCTACTGACTGAGTATCCAGCTCTTCAGCTTGTTTCAGAGGTAAGAATAAATATTTTTTGAGCAGAACTATTGCATAGAACTATCCTCAAAATCATGGGGCAGCTAATTTTACCAGTTGTAGTTGACATCTTTGCAGTAAACTTGCTTTTTGTAACTTGTATTTTGCAACTGGAATAGGTAAAAGCAGAATTTGGTCGAATTTTGGCAGACCAAAATGCAGCCAGCAACATGGTTATCCATTACAATAATATGGTTCAAAATGTAATAAAATGGGCAGGCAATAGTGACAACAAACACATAAAAATATTGATGTCAGACATGGAGGCCATGCTGTTGCAAAAACCTAATAAGGAAGCTGGTATGTGTATTCAATTAAGTCTGTCCATTTACAGAGTTCCAGCGGTGGATTTATGGGAGGGGTGCACAGGGTACTCACTTCTCTAAGCTCTCGTCAACAGCGTGGTGCATAGAGGGATAAAAAATGGCATTTTTCATGACTTTTAAGTTTTAATTAACGCTGAACATTTACTATTATTATATATAAAATATTTAGCGAATTTATTTGTTTCTAACATTCGGATTTTAGTTGCTCACAAAACCAAGCCCCCTAAAACTCTATGCTCGATCCACCACTGTAGAGTTTCATCTTAAAGCATGAGCACTTAAATCTACAATGGCAAAATGCGTATACTGTAAATATTAATCAGTTGGTTGTATATTTTGCAGATATAAGGAGTGCAGTTACAGCATTGATTATTCAGGTTGTGTTGAATGAAAAATCCACGGCAAATTGCTTAGTTTTCAAGATCTGCTGCGTAAGTAATAGATATCGAAACTATATAAAAACTGCATGGATAAAATTTTATGTATGCTTTAATAAAAATACAATTATATTACTGTCATGACATGACAATATTGTGTCTCACTTTCAATGACCTAATAATTCTAATTGTGTTTATGTTTATGCTGTTGTTTAGGAAGATGACTCTTTTGATGATGAAATAGCAAACACCACCTACCCACGACTAATTGGATCGGGAGAATTAGGGAGTCTGGACCCCCTTGTAATTGCTACCGAAGGGCAAATTTTTTTAGATCTGTCAAAAAAAAATATAGAAATTTCATTGTCTATAGTACTACTTCTAGGTACATTTTATGTACTTAATATGGAGTATACACCAAAGGCCTGTAACATTTATGCCCTTTTGGAAGTAGTTTTGATGGGTAAGCCCGCAAATGCAAAGAAAAGGGTTTCAGTTCAAAAGTTTGTGAAAAGTTTGGGGCTTTAGAGATTATAATATAGTAGTATTTCTAAGATGTTTTATATATTTAGTTATATATATATACATTTAACTTTACTTGTTTCATATATTGACTTGTTTATAGTATGTTTTATGTTTTGTATATATTTATATGTGTGAATACATGCATATAAATCATTTGATTTTTTTAAATATATTTAATGCTTAGCATTTTTGTGTCGCGTGTTTAACTGGCCTTACATAAAACAATAAGAAAAGGGGTTACAAAATAACACCGAATTTAAGTGTCATTTTGACACCGGACGCTAAGGGCTAAATTAGCACTTTAACAAGTGCTATAATAACACCAAGAATGGGCGCTATTTTAGCACCAAACTCGGTGTTAATTTAACACCAGTAAGAAAATAACACCCGAAATGGTGTTATTCTGTACCTTTTAATTTAACACGACTTTTTAGTGTTAAATTAACACCTTAAAATTTACAGTGAGGTGACAGCAGCGTTGTTTTATACTGACGACGCTTTAAAATGGAAGTTGCCGACCAGACAAATGCAGACGAAGAAAGTTAACCACTGGAAGTGCAATTGTCACAATGGGGGTCCTAAATTTTGTGATATTTTCTTCGGTGACAAACTCGAACTTTGCAATGTTGATTTTAAAGTGGTAGTGTACGAGTGACGGGTTTTTCCTAATGGCATACGTGGGCATTTCAGCCATTAAAGTGAAGCTTGTGCATGTTTACCTAAAAGTTTGCAAAGACAAAGTGAATCCTAGCAGAGCTATGTTGAACGAAGTCGCCATGAGAAAAGGCCCTGCCATTTACACTGTAAGGCGTGTGCACTGCAAAGGTTTCATTATTCTATCTGGAAACCCACCGCGGCAAAAATATAATCTTTTCAACAGTCTAGTGCTGAGATCACTTGTCGTTGGTCTTAGTGCAAGTGCTGCATTTAATGGTGCTTATAAAATGAGCCGATTCAATTTTCGGCATTTCAGCGTTATATCCTTAGGTATTTCAATAAATGGCAAAGCTCTACCCTTTAAGCCTTTCAAGCTGTCTTTTGGTAACAATCCTAGATACATGGAAGCATTTCTATAGCTATTTGCTGACACTGAAAAATGTTTTTGGACGCCGGAAATTGAAGTTCTCGTCTTGATTTTCGAAAGGCTGTTACTTTGTACAGTTATGAATTAACGCTGAATATGTGTAGTACGGCTGGTCATTGTAATACGGTGCCAAAAGAAAATCTTGCCATTGACATACAATTCTTGACAGCACCAGCTGGTGCAGTTCGTCTTGTCTGTTATGGGAAGTTTGAAAGTATAATCTACATCGACTATGAAGAAATGTTGTCTATGACTAGATTGGTTAAATGAACACCTCACAAATATTGTTTGCTTTGCATCGGATCCTGTTACAAGCAAAAAGTTTCTTGGAGTTTTTTCAGCCAATCGTTTACCTAAAGTAATCAAAAGCTATCCAAATAGGCTTATAGCAAACACCAATATCAGTGGAAAACCTGGAAGTCATTGGGTTGCATTTTACTTTCCATCTGAACAAAAAGCGGAATTCTTAGGCAGCTATGGACAACCGCTGGAACCATATCATAAATTCTTTACACACAGCTTGAAACGTTATGATTGGGATTTTAATACACGCAAACTACAAAGTATTTGGAGCGATGTATGTGGACAATATTCTATATTTTACTTTAGCCAAAGAGTGCGAGGTCATAGTGTGAGTAGAATTGTAGCCATGTTTGACAGTAATACTGTTGACAACGATAAGAAGGTATCAAATTTCGTAAACAAAAATTTTTATATAGAAACTACTGTTATCGTCCAAGGATATTAGTCAAGTAGAAACTTATTTGTGAAAGATTGAAATACTTACTAATCTATGAAAATTCATTGTGTAACTTAATTGCTTGCGTTTTGTAGTTGCATATTCTAATTGACAACAATCAAGAAATTGGAATATTAATTGCGATATTTATTTAAACAAACAAATCTTTTACACTACATATCAATAGTTTAACCAACGTAAATGCGTTTTCTTTGCTTTAGAGGAAGTTTTAGGTGTTGTCAATTTTGTTTTTGATAAACTAGGATAAACTTTTTCATCTTCTTCATTTTCTTCTTCGCGCAATGAGCTCTCCGTTTGAGTCTCTCTCCACAAGGCGACGTTTTTTACTAAATCACGAGGAATGTTTATCTTTGATAAAATACGAAAGAATTCTTTAGAGCCTTCATGATTGAAATTTTTTCTCCCACTTAAAGTATCGCTAATTAAATCTGATATGTTCGATTGAGGTATATCGACACCATCAAGTTTGAGTCATCCCACGAAATAACATTGGGACGCGTTTTACGACGATGCAATAATGCTGACTGACGCTCACGCATAGTTTTTGGAAACTTTCCACAATGATAGAGTCTGCTAAGATTGTTCAGCAAAGAAAACACTTTATACATAAAAGTAAGTTTTATTACGATAAAAGAAAAGAACAACGAACGTCGTGTGAACATACACAAGCCACGATATAACCTTCAACATAGTTAATGTTTCATAACAACGTATTTAAGGCTGTTGATTGTAATTTACAGCACTTCTACTAACTCAATATGTTATAACGTTGATACAAGTCCCAGTTTGCATCGCAGATATTCAAATTGTTCTCTTGGTAATGGGTTGGTAAAAATATCTGCCACCATTTCTTGGTTGGACAGTACTTTCTTTTGAGTGTTCCATCTTGAACTTTCTCGTGCACGAAATGGTGTTTAATATGAATGTGCTTTGTCTCCTTGTGTAGAACTGGATTCTTTGAGATAGTGATTGTACATTGATTATCTTTATGTATGGTAGCCGCAGTACAATCCATTTGTAGAAATTTCATCAGTTGTCACAGCCATACTAATTGTTGGGTTGCATAACATAGCGCAATGTAGTCCAAATTCGACGTTGAAAGAGCCACTGCTGGTTGTTTCTTGCTTGCTCAGCTGATTGCACCACCTAAGACTATCAACAGATTCCCGGAAGTTGACCGTTTATCGTCTGCATCAGAGTATCCATCTAAATCGATACTGGTTTTTTGGTACTGCAGGCTTTGTTTACAAGTTCCTTTCAAGTAACGAAAGATACGTTTTACTGCTGTAAGATGTGCTTCATTCGATGCTGTGTTGAATTTAGCCAATGTTGCTACTGCTTGAACTATATCTGGACGTGTAGCAATTGCCGCGTATATAAAACTTTCTTCCATTTACTGATAGTGAGAGGCATCGACTGATTTGCTATGTCCATATTCTTTATCAAGTCCATCTTTTAGGGTTTCTGGCACTGCAATCTCAGCTACGCAAAGTGCTGCATACTTCGATGTAGTTATCCCAGCTTACTCTTCGTGGCACTATATTGGTGAATTTCTCTCTCTTCCTGACCGTCGAGGCTCATTTGACGGATCTTGTTGTTCATTTTTGGTTGCACCATCTTCTATCTTTATTCCTGTTTCTTCGACAGCACACTCGGTAATATCTTCACCACACTTTATTTGAGCTTTTGCTAATCCAAAGTCTGTTTCATTAAATGTAAAGTCCCTACGAATAAAAAATTTTTGTTGATTCTCATCATACAGCCTGTATCCTTTCTGTGTAATACATTAAACAACAAATCTCATCCTGACTGCTTTTTGGTCAATTTTCTGGCGCACCACATCAGGAACATGAGCATAAGCAGTACCGCAGAAGACACGAAAATGGAACACATTTAGCTTCTTTGCATACCATTTTCAAACGGAGTTAACGCAGTTGCAGTCGTAATGACTCGATTTCTTATGCACGCTGCAGTGCGGTGTGCCTTTCCTTCTGCACATGCCTCACAAAAGCTTGAATTGCAAGATCTAGGTATGTCCATGCCTGTTATAAGTTGCTTTGAAGCCATAGTTTTCATTTGACAGACATTTACATGTGCCATTCTTTGGTGCCTTAGAACAAGTTTAATGCCACTTTCATGTGCAACTGATGCTTGGTTTTCCGGTTTGTCAACTTTACAATCAAGTTGATACATGTTCTCAACTCCTCGACAGCATGCTACAGCTTTTCCATTAGAGTTCTTTATCGAACAGAGACTGTGTCCAAATTGAACCATTTTGCCTTAAGATTCTGCTGCGCTGTCCAATCCCACTGTCTGCTTTCCTGGTAAAATATATTCTTTGATGTGTCCCATTTGTTTGACTGGTGAAAAAGCGTTCTTTTTCCATCATCGTTATTCCTTTCAACACCTTCTCCTGTAAATCGTTTAATACTACCATGCTGCTCAATGAATAATGGAATGTGGTAAGCCATTGCATGCATATACGGTGTCACCAGGGACTCAATTGTGTGTACTTCCCTTTTCCTAATACTGAGTTTGTAGACTTTACTATCTAATGCCTTTCAATCTCGTCCTTTTATTCTCTTGTAATCCAGCTTAGCATAGCTTACGAATTGCTTCTTCTTTACAACGACACGATTTTTTAATCTCAGCCACCCGTCAGTCAAGGTTAAATTATAAAGGTGAATGTAATTCACATCATGAAAACTTACTGCGTCCAACATCTGAGCACAAAAACGTAAAAGGGGTCTATGAATTTCTATACACACAAGAAATCCATTATTTGCAGCAATTTGTTGTTGTTTATAGTGAAGCGGATAATCTGTGCTAACATTTATTTTCCCTTCAAACGCTGTATTTTCGTACTTGTTTAAAACGACTGCCATATTGTAAAAATTTCGCGCATTCATTTCAGACCTACATTCCATGTATTTTTCTCTTAAAACTTGTGGAGCGGTTGTAAATAATATATCGTCTGCAGTACTTCATTTGTAGGAAAAGTATGACTGCTGGGAATTTACTGTGTTTGAAACCAATGATAGACATAGGGAATGTGTTCAGGTTGAATACGTCATAAGTGTGTCATCTAAAAGTTGCTTGCAAATATGACACTTAAACTCCACACATTTGTGTTCGAGTTCTGTGTGTCTGTCAACATTCACTTTGCAAGTAAAACATTTGCACGAGTTGTGTACTTCATACGGTATAACTTGCAATTGTTTACTATTGGGTATGTAAGTATTTTATTTATAAATTCTTTGGAAAATTTTTAGAATAGACAGTGCTCGCCATCTTCAATCTAATCATATCTTG